CAGCATCACAGAAATATGAAATATACACAAACCTCAAAGCCATGAAGCTGCTGGATATGGACTAAAAGAGTAAAATGACAGACTTTCTTCTACCCTTTATCTCTGTGATTCTCCCCCTTGCTCTGGTCACTTGGTCCCTTACAGACTCGATTAGCCACTGAATTGTGTCGGACTGTCAGAGCACTCAACAACAGAATTAATGAGGATAAAGCCTCACACATTCCAAATTCAATCTAATCCAGGATCAGCTTTCTTTATTAGAACAAAATGAGATATCTGATTAGGTTTCAGGTATTAAATCTGTTGTAGGTAAGAATGTTCTTTAAAGAGAAATGGTTACGACTTGTTGCTGGAACAACACTCACTGTTTTCTTAGTGTAACATTTAGATTCAACTTCCGGCAAAAAATGGCAACAAACCCATTGAATGTTAAAATGATAGTGAACCAGAAAGGACAGTCTGTGACTGCACGGAGTGGTTCAGAGTTAACAAGTAAACAAGTGATGCAGTTGGAAAGGCCACACTTTCCCCAGGAGAGTGTCACAACTGTAATCAAACTGACTGTGAAACAGAAAAGGAGAAAGAGAATGGAGATTATTGACAATCATTGTTTAATTCAGAGCCCAGACAGTAAAGATTTCAGCAGTACAAACTAATGGGTTCAGATCGGGTTAGAATCTCAACTATGTCCTTAACCTATCTCGCTCTGTTCACTTATAGGAGTAACTGATGCAGAATGAGCACTCACAGTATGCCGGTCAGTCAGATAAATATATGACAGATAGATATTACCCCGTCTCCAACAACTCCATTCCACACTCGGTTCAGTCCTCATGTTTAGAACCCATTCATTTGTCAGGGAATGGTATCAGTTTTGACCCACTCCCTGTGATTGGAGCACAGGAGCTATTGATGTTTAAGGGAATAAAATTAAGAAGGAGGTTAAACAGATGTTGTAATCCTGATCAGAACACAGTTGTTCATTTCTCCAGGAAGATCATGAAAAGGACAGTGGAAATTTGGAGACCCATGGCTACAGCACACAGAGAATGATGTATATAGTTCTGGTCTTCACATCACTAAAAATCAAGCCATAGCTTTGGTATAGTTGTGGTCACATGCTTTACAAAATAATAATACCATGACAGATAAAGTATAATCAGCAGGACATTATTTGACACTATTGGCTGCTTACCACAATATCCTCGATGGCAACTGGGCATGGGCTGGCCTAGCTGGCACTGCCCACCTTCCATGAATGAATAAATGTATAAAAGTTGAAACAAAAACATGGGAGAAACTCAGCAGATCTACCAGCTTCTGTGGAACAAAAAATAGAACTAATGTTTCGAGTCCTGTGACCAGACCTCATCAGTTTTATTTTAATAAATAATTGGTGCTCAATCTGTTTGAAATTGATCCATTTTGTACAGTGGTAGTGCCGCACTATGGAGCATATCCCAGAGTGTCAAGATGGGACTACGTTTCCACAAGGACTGTGTGGTGTTCACTCCTAGCATTACTGTCATGGACAGAAGCAAATTCTGTTTAGTGAAGATCATAGAATCCCTACAGTGTGGAAACAGGCCCTTTGGCCCAACAAGTCTACACCAATCCTCAGTGCATCCCACCTAATCTACACATCCCTGAAAACTATGGGCAATTTAGCATGGCCAATCCACCTAGCCTGCATATTTTTGGAATGTGGGAGGAAACCGGCGTGCCCGGAGGAAACCCATGCAGACACGGGGAGAATGTGCAAACTCCACACAGACAGTTGCCCGAGGGTGGGATTGAACCTGGGTCCCTGGTACTGTGAGGCAGCAGTGCTAACCACTGTGCCACCGTACCTGTTAAAGAAGAATAAGACAAGATGATTTTTTACCTCATGTTGATTTCCTCAGCACTTAACATAGACTCATTCTAGTAAATATGTCCATTAGAATTTGACCAGTTTGGTCAGTATTGGTGCTACTGAGCCTTTCTTGGTGATAAATATTACTGTGTTCCATCTGGAGGCTTTGTCCTTTCTCACTCAGTGGTCCCTCTGAATGGTTCTCAACATGAATCATAAAACATGAATCAAGTGGTGAGGGTGGTAATAGTTAAATATCAACATGAGGTTTCCTTGCTCCTGTTTGACCTGATGCAGTGAAATATTATTGGGTCAGAAGCCAATGTTAGGTATTCTCTAAGAAACTCTTTCCCAACTGTATTCTACAGCGCTGCCCATAGCCAAGCTGTTCCATTACAGCATACATCACTGGTATTGATTAGGGATAGTCAGCATGGGTTTGTGTGGGGAAAATCATGTCTCACAAACTTGATTGAGATTTTTTAATGAAGTAACCAAAAAGATTGATGAGGCAGAGTTGTGGACGTTATTTACTTGAATTTTAGTAAAGCCTTTGACAAGCTTCCGCATGGTAGACTAAATAGTAAAGCTAGATCACATGGGATTCAGGATGAGATTGCCAATTGCATACAAATTGGCTTTATGATAGGAGACAGAGGCTGGTGTTGGAGGGTTGCTTTTTGGACTGGAGGCTTGTGACCAGCGGTGTTCCACAAGGACTGATACTGGATAGACTTTTGTTTGTCATTTATATGAATAATTTGGATGAGAATACAGGAAGAATGGTTAGTAAGTTTGCAGATGACACCAGAATTGGTGGTACAGTGGACAGTGAAGAAGGTTATCTAAGAATACAAAGAGATCTTGATCAGTTGGGTCAATGGGTTGAGAAGTGGCAGATAGAGTTTAATTTGGAGAAATGTGAGGTACATATTTTGGTCAAACAAACAAGGACAAGACTTATACAATTAATGGTAGGGTCTCGGGTAGTGTTGTAGAACAGAGAGACCTGGGTACTCAGATATATAATTCTTTGAAATTTGTGTCACATGTAGACAGGTTAGGTAAGAAGGTGATTAGCACACTTGCCTTCATCGCTCAGACTTTTAAATATAGGAGTTGGGACATCATGTTGAGGTTGCGTAGGACATTGGTGAGGGCTCTTCTGGAGTACTATGTCCAATTCTGTTTGCCCTGTTATAGGAAGGATATCATTAAGCCGGGGAGGGTTCAGAAAAGATTTATCAGGATGTTGCCAGGAATGGAGCATTTGGGTTATAAAAATAGACTGGATAGGCTGGGAATTTTTACACAGGAGGGTGGGAGGTGGAGGGGTGATCTTATTGAGGTTTGTAAAATCATGAGGGGAATTAATAAGGTGAATGACAAGAGTCTTTTCCTTGGAGTGGGGAGTTCAAAACTAGGGGTGGAGGGTGGGATGGTGGGGCATATTTTTAAGGTGAGAGGAGAAAGATTTAAAAAAAGACATGAGAGGCAACTTTTTTACACAGAGGGTGTGGAAGAAACCTCTTGAGGAAGTGGCAGATGCAGATACAGTTACAATATGTAAAAGACACTTAGATTAGTACGTGAATAAGAAAGGTTTGGAGGGATATGAGCCAAGCGCAGCCAAGTGAGACTAGTTTAGCTTGGGAACATGGTCAGCATGGACTCATTGGACAAAAGGATCTGTTTCCGTACTGTATGATTCTATGGTATCAACCTGACAATATGGAAAATTTCACAATATGACCTATATACCAAAAGAAGGACAACATCAATCTAGGCAATTGCCACCTTATCAATCTACTGTCCATGATTACCAAAGTGATGGAAGGGATTGCTATCAAACAGCACTTGCAAAGTGATGACACTCAAAGACAGTCAGTATGGTTTCAGTTCAGTTGCCTCCAGACCTCAGTACAGCATGAGTCAGGACAACACTAAGGGTGAGGTGAGAGTGACAGCCATTGAAATAAATGTGACATTTGACCAAGTGTGGCATCAAGTGTGGAATGACTACATAAGTCACTCAACTCCACTTCCAGCATCAAAGAATTTATTGAAATTACACTGGTGGGAAGAAACCTCTGGGGACCAGAAATTTCTTCAATGAACGATGAATGCATTTTTATACAATTGTGTTCAGCCTGCCTTTAACAATTACAGACCAATCGTATTATTAATCAATTACATACATGCCCAATCAAATTAATCATGTGTCTGTATGGGCAGTGATGGACAGCTTTACTGACAACTCTTATGGACAGGCTTCCATGATCTCATGATGTTTGCCAGACACCTTTATCTCTGTCCTTGGGCCATTCACAATGCATGCTGTATGCAATCACATTCCAATACTGTTGACTTCTGCACCAATTATTCAATTGTCCCTGTAAGCAGTGTGTGGGTGTTTCCTTACTATCTTGACAATAGGATAATCTCTTTAATGCTTATTGTGTTTTTTAAAAGAGGTTATATATATGACATTCAAAATCTATAACTATGATTATCTGGAAATCTTAACTAGAGTAAATAGATTTTTTTCTATTTGTGACGGATCTCAGATTTTAATACAACTAGGTATGGAATTTTTCTATCAGCATACTCAAGGGTGTCCTTATCCAGCTGTTGCTGTATAAACAGTTGCAGCTGAGTGTTTGTAAAAGGACACTTTGTGTATTCATTATAAGATTCTCTCTGAGTTATCTTAATCGTGTTACTTTGAATGTATTCTATCCACAAAGCTTCAATTGTCCTAACTTATGGATCACTTTAATGCTCACTAAACAGGCTGATTTAAGTTGGCTGGAAATCACTTTTGGACTTTGTACGCTGCTGTCAGCCAACAAATCCTGAGCAAAATTGGTGTCAAATGGAATCAGAAAGAATTCTCAGCTGGTTGGAGTCTATCTGACATATAGGAAGATGATGGTGGTGATTGAAGGCCAATCATCTCAGTTCCAGGACATTCTGCAGCAACTCCTCAGAGTAATATCTTACACCCAAACATGTGTGGAAATGTAAGAGATAAGGGAGATACTAAATGTGTATTTTACATTAGTGTTTACTGTGGAGAAGAATATGGAACCTAGAGAACTTGGAAACATAAATAGCGACATCTTGTAAAATATCCATGTTACAGAGGAGGCGGTGCTGGACGTCATAAAGCGCATAAAGGTGGATAATTCCCTGGCGTCTGATCAGGAGTACCCTAGAACTCTGTAGGAAGCTAGGGAAGTGATTGTTGGGCCCCTTGCTGAGGTGCCCGAAGACTGGAGGTTGGCTAATGTGGAGCCACTATTTAAGAAAGGTGGTAAGGAAAAGGCAGGGAACTATATACCAGTGAGCCTGACATCGGTGGTGAGCAAGTTTTTGGAGGGGATCCTGATAGATAGTATTTACATGTATTTGGAAAGGTTAGGACTGATTGGGGATAGTCAACATGGCTTTCTATGTGGCAAATTGTGTTTTACTAGCTTGACTGAGTTTTTTGAAGCAGCAACACAGAGAATTGATGAAAGCAGAGCAGTGGATGTGATCTATAAGGACTTCAGTAAGGCATTCAACAAGGTTCCTCATGATAGACTGGTTAGCAGGGTTAAATCACATGGATTAGATGCAGAATTAGTGATTTGAATACAGAAACTGGCTCAAAGGTAGAAGACAGAAAGTGGTGGTGGAAGGTTGCTTTTCAGACTGGAGGCCTGTGACCAGTGGTGTGCCACGAGGATTGGTGCTGTGTCCACTGCCTTTGTCATTTATATAAATGATTTGGATATGAACGTAAGAGGTATTGTTAGTAAGTTTGCAGATGACAACAAAATTGGAGGTGTAGTGGACAGCGAAGAAGGTTACTTCAGAGTACAATGGGACCTTGATCAACTGGGCCGATGGGCCGAGGAATGGCAGATGGAGTTCAATTTAGATAAATGTGAGGTGCTGCATTTTGGAAAGGCAAATCAGGGCAGGACTTATACATTTCATGGTAAGGTCCTGGGGAGTGTTGCTGAACAAGGTCACCTCAGAGTGCAGGTTCATAGTTCCTTAAAAGTGGAGTCACAGGTGGATAGGTTAGTGAAGAAGGCATTTGGTATGATTGCCTTTATTGGTCAGTGCATATAGAAGTTGGGAGATCATGTTGTGGTTTTATGGGACATTGGTTAGGCCACTGTTGGAATACTGCGTTCAATTCTGGTCTCCTTGCTATCGGAAGGATGTTGTGAAACTTGAAAGGGTTCAGATAAGATTTACAAGGATGTTGCCAGGGTTGGAGGGGTTCAGCTTTAGGGAGAGGCTGGATATGCTGGGGCTATTTTTAATGGAGCATCAGAGACTGAGGAGTGACCTTATAGAGGTTTATAAAAATCATGCGGGGCATGGATAGGGTAAATAGACAAGGTCTTTTCCCCAGGGTGGGGGAGTTAAAAACTAGAGGGGATAGCTTTAAAGTGAGAGAGGGAAGATTTAAAAAGGACTTAAGGGACAAGGTTTTCACGCAGAGGATGGTGTGTGTAAGGAATGAGCTGGCAGAGGAAGTGGTGAAGCATGGTACAATTATACCATTCAAAATGCACCTGGATGGGTATATGAATAGGAAGGGTTTAGAGAGATATGGGCCAAATGCTGGCAAATGGCACTAGATTAATTTAAGATGTCTGGTTGGCATGGATGAGTTGGAGTGAAGGGTCTATTTCCATACAGCTGTATGACTCTATGTTCAGCTGCTTAATCAATGACTTTCCCTCGATCCACAAGGTCAGATGTGGGAATGTTCACTGATGATTGTGAAATGTTCAGCACCATTTGCAAACCCTTCAGATACTGAAGCAATGCTTGTCCAAATGTTACAAGACCTGAACAATATCCAGTCTTCAGCTGACAAGTAGCAAATAACATTCATGCTACACAAATGGCAGGCAATGACTAGAGAGAATCTAACCACCATTTTTGACATTCAATGGCTTTATCTTCACTGACTTCCCCACAATCAACATCTTCGGGGGTATCGTCAACCAGAAACTTAACAGATGCAGCGATATAGATAATGCGGCTCCAAAAGCTGGTCAAAGTCTGGGAATCCTGCATTGAGTAACTCACCTCCTGACTCCCCAGAGCCTGTCCACCAAGGCACAAGTCAGGAATGTAATGGAATACTCTCCACTTGCCTGCACGAGTGCAGGTCCAGCAACACTCAAGGAGTTTGGCACGGTCCAGAACAAAACAGCCCACTTGATTGGCACCACATCCACAAATATCCATTGCATCCCCCATTGATATGCACTTTGTCATGTAAGAGCCCTTGCAGGTTCTCACTTCAGTTTGGAGCAATGTTCTGTACATAACAGGTATGAGGGTAAATAACCAGGAAAGTGTCAAAATCAATTTTATTGCATAAAATGATAATAAAACAATTATACATTGTAATTATTAATATATGAAGAGAAATAAGAATAAGGAGGTATGGATTTTTTGAAAGGAGGGAAAGTATTTTGAAGAAACGTAATGCAATAATTGAACAGACATTGGGCAGACATTGGTTGGCCCAGAAATAGAGACAGCATCATCGAAAACCAAACACCTAGATGCAACAATATTAATGGTGGACTATAGCAACATTAGCAATGTACGTGAAATCAGAATTATAGGAGAGCACAGAGACTGGGAGGCTGTAAAGGTTGTGGGACATCACAAAGATAACAATAGTTGTATTGTCTGGAGAAGTTTACAGATATTGCAAGGACTATACCAGCTGGAGGATGTTATTAAAGCTACTAGAGATCCAGGGGCTTGGGAAGGTGACAGAGATATCGAGGATTGTGATCCAGGTAGTGATTACTGTAATAGGAAGGGAGTGGTGCTGATGATGGGCCCACAGACATTGAGGGTCATGGGCCTGGAGGTGGTTATCTTAATGGGGAGGACGTGGCGTTCGGGAAGGCTACCGAGATTGTCTCCTCGACGATTTCTGAAGTGTTGAGCTCTAAGGTGATACTGTCTTTGTATGATATTCTGCATCCAGCAGAGTGAGTTGGAGATGCAACGGTCTCTGTGTGTGTGCGCGCACGCACGCATGAGTGTTTTCGCGTTTGTGTATGTCAATACAAGAGCGCCCAGCAGAGGGAGACGAAGGCTAAAATTGTGCATTTGTGCAATTAGAACAACGCCGAGTCGAGGGTGAGACTGTATGTGTGTGATTATGGTGGCAGACGGCAGACAGGACTGTATGCGTGTTTACGAAGAAAGAGATTGCTGAAGGTGACGGTCTGACTGCGTGTGCAACGCATTAACTTTGAATATCTTTAAGAAAATCTGTGTTAATGAGTTAATTCCCACGATTGACAGGAGAAGCTATAGATGATAAAGTAGAACATGCAATACACCTCGACATGTTTTTGCCGGATGGTGTATGTTTTTGAAAATTGAAATCTATGATCTAAAAGTCTGTGTCCATTTCTATTCTGTGATTTCAGACACTGGGCAGCGGTTGGAGCAGCGTTGGCCGCTGCTCCCATAACACCCCGCGGCTGTGAAAGGCCTCTATCACTAAGACAGGCCGCAGTACCCTCTGGGAAATGCGACACGACGCATGCGTATTTATGGAAGTCCCAGATCTTCTTCTTTTATTTTAAATTTCCGCTTTCGAGGCGCTCAGATTCTCCATCCACCTATCGATCCGGAGGCTCCCTTTCTTTGTTTCGGCGATTCGGAGTTTTATATGTAAATTTAAAATGACTCTGATGTCACCCCAACATGGCCGCCCCCACGCGGGTGAGGCACTGGCGAACTGACAAAGAAGGAACTGGATCGTCAGGAGGAGACACTGGGAAGACCAGAAGAGTCAGAGCGGCACCCTCCGGCTGAACACATTTCACTGCACAGACATGTGTTTAAACCATAAGCAGAAGTAGGCCATTCAGTCCATCGAGTCTACTCTGCCATTCAATGAGACCATGGCTGATCTGATAATCCTTAACTCCACTATCATGCATTTTCCTATCACCTTTTATTCCTGTACCGATTAAAAATTGTCTACCTCAGTCTTGAATAAACTTAGTGACCCAACTGCCCTCTGACATAAAGAATTCCACAGGTTCAGTACCCTTTAAGATAAGAAATTCCTCCTCATCTCTGTCTTAAATGTATGACCCCATATTCTGAGATTATGCCATCTGGTCCTAGACTCTCCGACACGTGAGCTTTGATGTGGACTTGTTGGGTTGAAGCACCTGTTTCCACACTGTAGGGATTCTATGAAGTGGAAACAACCCTCCGTATCTACCCTGTCAAGTCCTCTATGAATCTTGTATGTTTCAATAAGATTGCCTCTCATCTTTTATGTTCCAACAAATACGGTCCGATTCTACTCAAACTATCCTTAGAAAACAGACCCTGCCCACGTACCTAGCATCAGCCAAGTGAACCTTCTCTGGCCTGCCTCCAATGCCAGTCAATCTTTTCTTAGCTATGGGGTCCAAAACTATTCACAGTATTCCAACTATGGTCTTACTAGTGCCTTGGAGAATTTTAGCGAAACCTCCCTAGTTTTATATTTCATCACCTTTGATATAAAACCATACTTTCCATTTGCCGTCCCTATTACCTGCTGAACCTGTGTGTTAGAGATAGTAGGAACTGCAGATGCTGGAGAATCCGAGACAACAAGGTGCAGGGCTGGATGAACACAGCAGGCCAAGCAGCCTCTCTGCTCCTATGATGCTGCTTGGCCTGCTGTGTTCATCCAGCCCTGAACCTGTGTGTTAGTTTTCTTTAGGATTTTTATACATGGACTCCCAACAGCCTCTGTGTTGCTGCTTTCTGCAGCCGTTTTCTATGTAAATAATATTTAGCTGCTCTATCCTTCCTGCCAAACTGCATACTGCACTTTCCCCAAATTTCATTCGATCTGCCAAGTTTTTGCCCGCTGGCTTAATCTGTCCATATCCCTCTGCAGAGTCTTTGAGTCATCTCCATCAGTTCCCTTTTTAACCTATTTGAGTCATCTGCAAACATGGCTATAGTATGCTCACTTTTCTCAATCAAATCATTAACATAAATTGGAAAGAATTGTGGCCTTAGTACTGATCCCTGTGACACTTCATTAGTTGCATGTCACCATCCTAAAAATGCCATACCCCACCTAAACCCAACTCACTGTCTTCTATTAGTTATCAATCCTCTCTCTATTCTAATACCACCACCTCCAACCTGGTAGGCTTATATTAAAT